ACCTGTGAGGTTAACCTTAGGCATTAAACCTGTGAGGTTAACCTGAGGGTCTGTGTTTGGGGAGGTGGATAAAAGAAATTAATAAATAATGCTCTGAGTACTTCAACGTGAGTAGAAGAAACTCTCTAACTTCTTCCTTTCTTCTTCCTTTGCTCTCTTAATCCCGCGCAACCTTCATTTCCGGAATGCAATAGTCCCATTTCCATATRAACTATGGGACTGACGGAAAGGTCTGTCACCGCCCCGTTCTGCATGCTGCAGCGAAGTGTACYTSRCCTAGGTTAAGAATCACTGTATGATGTGCATCAGTATTCTGACACACGTAGCATTTTTTTATTTAGACCAGAAAGCTACATTTTGATCTCATATGAACAAAGCTCTTACTTCCACATTATAAATAACAGTTTTGTTGATTAATGGTTGTCCTTTTGACAAATTCTCTCACCTGATCCGTGGATCTCTGCAGCTCCTTCAGAGTCATCATGGGGCTCCTTGGCTGATTGTCAGAATAATGCTCTTGTTGTCTGGCCTGTCAGTTCAGGTAGATGGCCTCGTCTTGGTAGGTTCACAGTTGTGTTGTCCATTTTCAGATGATAGAATGAGATCTATGAGGTAAAGGTTAGAATACTGTTTTATACCCTAACCCTGCTCAKCACTTTTAACCCTGACCTGTCTGGTGTGTTCATTGGTCTTCATGATGTGGTTAGACCACCATTGTTCTGGATCAAACGTCTGAGGCCTTCACAGAATAGCTGAATTCATATTCAGATTAAATTATAAACAGATTTTTAGTTAAGGCAATTGGTTGTACTGAATTTTAGGGTATCAGAGTTAAAGAAGCAGAGTAAAAATTAACACCACACTTAAAACAAACTGTGAAAACCATATATGATGTTACTTCTTTTGTGTTTGTCAATTTATCACATAAAATCCCCGTTTGTGGTTRTAATGTGACAAAATGTGAGAAAGTTTATGRGGTGTGATTACTTTTTCAAGGCCCTGTRGATCCAGTTATCACTGTCGTCCTTTACAGCAAGCAAAAACGTTATAAATACAATACAGGGTAGTGTCTCCAACGTGTCCACACCACTGAAGTACAGACTGGGAGAGAGTAACACGGGGAGCGCAGACACAGATTTAGATTTGTGATTGTCCTCTCCCGTGCACTCCATCCTCATTGAGTGCTGCAGCCAGTGTCCTGCCTGCACACCGATGAAGCTCTGGAWGGGGGACAGAGGCTATTTGGACAAGAATTAGGGGTGTGTTAAATTTCTGCATGCATGATCAATGGGGTTGAACGGAGGGGTTGGGGACGGCACACAGAAACGCTGAGAGAAAGATAGCAGTGAGCAATAGTTGACTAATGAGAGATGGACAGCGTGGATCGTGTCTCATTACTAATCAACATAGCTTTGAGTTCTCCTGGAGAGGGAGAATGTGAGCTCTAATGTGTTCCCGCATGTGTTCCTTTTCGATAAACCCTGCTTGTGTGGCGCAGCATTAGTCACAGCGGTATCTGAGCTGTTGGAAGTCCACACACACTGCCCTCTGTCCGTTTGGGTGAGGAGTTTCCTCTGAATAGTACAATAGGTCTTAATTACAGGTCAGTGGCATGTCTCAGGGAGATAGAGGGAGCTCTGTTACCCTTCCAAATACAGTATAATGCCATCTTCCCAAGGGTGGGGTGGGGTAACAAGAGCTCGACACAAAAAGGTGCTGATAGGCTGAACATGAGAACAGTATAAGGTGATCGAGGCAGAGAAAGTGTGCATTTTAGACTGAGAAAGAGAAAGACAGGAGATTCCATTAACTCTCAAAGGGTTTTGTCCACTTAGTTTTACTTTCTTTCCTTTCAAGATCCAACCCGTTTATTCCTGCCAACTCTCCTCAAAAACAAGAGGTGGATGGGAGCTTTAAAAAAAAGTTGGATTTACTTAATAAACCCAACTACAAAAAGTGTGAGAAAAGCAGAAAACTGATTAACACCACCTGTTGGTGCTGCTGAAAGAGGATAGATTCACAAAGAAATGCGACAACAAACATCCAGCATACTATTTGTCTGAATTTGGATTCAGCATTCACAACATTGTTTTACCATTTATTTTTCTTAGTTATATTTTTCACAAGATCCCCTGAAGAAACACTGTACATCAACATCCTTTTAATTCAAAGGTGCCCAATCCTGGTCCTTGAGGGCTACAGTCCTGCATGTTTTATTAGTTTCTCTGCTCTGACACGCCTGATTCAGTGACCTCTTCAAGTTGAAGCCTGTTAATCACCCATTCATTTAAATCAGGTGTGTTAAAGCAGAGAAACCTAAAACATGCAGGATGGTGTGGCCCACCAGAACCAATACACCACTGGTTTAATTCCTTTAAAAAGATTCTCATTCTATTTTTGTCTTGTTTTACTATGTAATGTTTTTGCTATCATTTTGCTACTTTTATCTTTTAGTGTTTTGCAGCTTTTAGGTAACCTTTCAATAWATTTAGATTTTTAGCTAGACTTTGCTGCTTCTAGCTTTTTGTTACTCTCTTGCTGATTTTAGCCACTTTTGTTACTTTTAACTTTTAGCTTTTGCACCATTAGCTTTAACAACTCCATCCATGGGCAGCACGGTAGCACTGCTGGGAGAGCTGTCGCCTCTCAGTAAGAAGGTTGTTGGATCAAATCCTGGACCTTTTCTGGGGAGAGTTTGCATGTTCTCTCCAGTTGTGGTCCTGTGATGGACTTGTGACCTGTTGAGGGTGGACCCTGCCCCTTGCACAGTGGCTGCTGGACATGGGCACCAGCGAGCCCCGTGACCCCGAAAGGAAGAAGTGGGTAGAAGATAATGGATGGACAGAATTCCATTTTCTGCCTAATATTTGCAATCAGTTCACAGAGGACCCCAAGATGTTTGCAGGTTAACCAAGTCATAGGTTTGCACAGGGGTCTCCTTGCAGTGGGACGTGGCCTATAAACCTTATAAGCGAGGAGTTTAAGAGGCATTTAAACCGACTTGCAAACCACCTCAGCCGGCTCCTTTCGATGCTGAGGATCAGCGGCTCTGGAAGAGGGAGCTTCTCACCCTATCCCTATAAACTGAGCCCTGCCACCCTACAGAGGAAACTCACTTCAGCTGTTTGTGTGCAGGAGTCTTGTTCTTTCGATCATGATCAATACCTCATGACCGTAGGTTAGATGGAGCGTGGACAAAAAGGTCAGCTCATTGGTCACAACAGACTGGAGCTGCTATCACTTTAAATAAGACCCCGCTCCATCCTACCATTCCTCATGAACAAGAGCTTGAGATATACAAACTTCTCCACTTGAGGCAGAGACTCAGCCCTGACACCAGTTTCCTGCAGGTTCAACTGGTTTAATGCAGTGGTTCCCAACATTTTTAGACTTGTGTACCCCCTGAGCCATTTTGTCATACCACTAGTACCCCTTCAAACCCCTGGTAACAGGAATCAAACTAGACTTGTCCTAACACCTTCTTAGTTTTATTGATCACACAAAAAACAACAAATTTAAAGCAGCTGGAAATCACCTAAAAATACTTTATGGTTTTCAGCTTTTGGGACACATATTAACTACACAAATAAAAAGTAATGAAGAAAACATGCAGTAACACCTTTTCTGATTAAAAGAGCATTGACAACATACTGTACTGTTCAAAAAGTAAAGTAACCTTCAGCACAGACAGGAGCCATCCTGAAACAGTCTGATGTAAAGATGATACAATGGCGCTCTCTACTGGAAAAACAAAAACAGGTTGAATTTGAGCTATAGTTCTGTACAATATGCTCCTTTCTGGTCTAAAACTGGGCTTTTAATAACATTTTTATATCTTCTCCTTTAACATGAGTGGAAAAACTAAATGAAAAATAAATAAATAAAACAAAACTTGTGCCTCATAAGAACATTTCCTAACTAAAAGGAAAACATGCTCACGAGATGTGCAATCTAAATGTTTCTGTCCCCTTTCTGTCACGTCTCAGACACGTCCTTCCAAGAAGTATGCAGACGTCTCCGCAAATGTAACATTGCTCACTTTTATTTATTGTTTTTAAATTGCACTTTGGTCACTGCTGGGGCCTGAGGGAGAGGGGACAAAGTTCACAGGAGGCTTGTAAGGAGGAGGGGGTGAAGAGGAGGAAGGTTAAAAAAAAGAAAATTGACCTTTGAAAGCAAAACAGCAGGTGGAGAGCTAAAAACCAGGCAGCTCAAGACACATCGGGAGGAAACCGAACAGAAAAAAAATGAAAGTGTTTCTCTTAACTTAAAGAGTTGTCGCTCGTGTAGTAATGAAGCCTAACGCTGGCTGTGTGGCAGAGCGAGTGTGAGCGCCGTTTGTTTGGAAAGCAGGAGCATTTTTGTAGGAGACAGGACAAATGGAGGGAGAGGAAAAGGYGACAGCAGCAAACGCCAGGCCGAGCCGTTTGACCGCCCTTCAGGAGCAGCTCATCTGGGCCCTGCTGGAATCCGGACTGTCCCGGGACGTCCTGGTCCAAGCCGTGGGGGAACTGGAGCGAAGCAAGGCCGGCGGCGGGCCCGACAGGGGAGAGAAGGGGGATGGAGAGAGCTCGGAGGAGGGAGAAATGGATTTCCCGCCGCCTATATTCCGAGATTTGGAGAAGCTTCCTCCGGATGAGGCGTCCAAGCTCAGGGCTGAAGTCGACAGATTACTGCAGTGAGTACATCTCCCTGAAATCATCTGAAAATGCCTCACTAGGCAAGGCAAATGCAGCCGTTTTTGTGCTCAATATAATTTTGTAAATTCTTATCCTCAACACGGTTTGATTCTTCTTCTTTGTGTCCTGTACAACTTCCTGCCAACAGATGATCTAACGAGATTCAAAACTATTCCCAATWTCCTCTCAAGCTCGAGTCTCCTCTTTCCCCCCAAATTCTTCCTCCTTCACACGCTTCCGTTTCTCTCTCTACAATCTGGCTTCTGAGGCGAATTTAAAGAGGGTTCCTCCTTTGCTAGTTACTAATTACCCACCCCCATCATTATTCCCTTACCATTTCTTAATATATAAGCTATATGCATACAGGTAGGTGAAGATTAATGGAGCAGGGCTGGTCACAAGAGACCATGTTTGCATAAGAGTTGCAACACGTCTGCACTGTTTCAAGACTTTGGAGTAATTCAGCAAGCTCTTCATTTGTGAACTAAAAATAAATTCTCTATAAAAAAAAATGTAAAGTACTTATTACAGATGATGTGATGGGATAAATTAGCTGACGAAATCGAGGGGTTTTGAAATATTGTGCATTTTTTTACGACTCCGGGTCGGAGAGCGACGACATTAAAGCGGAGCTCATAAAGCTTTCACACGTTTTTTTCCCCTCCAGTGATCAGAAAGAGCTGGACTTTGCTCCTGTGTGCTTTCTCTTATCTCACTCTGTCAATAAGCCCCTCTGTGTGGCCACACTTTGAGCCTCGTTTTGTCACTGCCTGTTCACTGCTACTTTATAGAAACTGGTAGCGCTCAGAAACACCCTGAAACATGTAGCAGGAAACAATGTTAACTCCCGTCCCCAGAAATGACAATCTATAATAAACGTAAAAAATAAATAAATAAAACACAATGGGTAAAGCTGTGGAAGATATTATCAGATTCTTTAGTTGACCATAAATACTTGAAATTTGAAGTTTAATTTTGATTAAACTTATTTATCAGAGAAAAAAGGGGCAGATACAGCGGGTAAAATAAGTATTGAACACGTCACCATTTTTCTYAGTAAATATATTWCTAGAGGTGCTAATGACATGAAATTTTCACCAGATGTCGATAACAACCCAAGTGATCCATACATACAAAGAAATCAAACCATAAATGTCCAGAAATGAAGTTATTTGTAATAATGTGGAATGGCACAGGGAAAAAGTATTGAACACACTTACTGAAATTTATCTAATACTTTGTACAAAAGCCTTTGTTGTCAATGACAGCTTCAAGASGCCTCCTGTATGGAGAAACTAGTGGCATGCATTGCTCAGGTGTGATTTTGGCCCATTCTTCCACACAAACAGTCTTCAAATCTTGAAGGTTTCGTGGACCTCTTCTATGAACTCTGATCTTTAGTTCTTTCCATAGATTTTCTGTTGGATTCAGGTCAGGTGATTGGCTGGGCCATTCCAGCAGCTTTAGTTTCTTTCTCTGAAACCAACTGAGAGTTTCCTTGGCTTTGTGTTTGGGCTCATTGTCTTGCTGAAATGTCCAGCCACGTTTCATCTTCATCATCCTGGTAGATGGAAGCAGATTTTTATCAAGAATGTCTCTGTACATTTTTCCATTCAGCCTTCCTTCAATTATTTGAAGTTTGCCAGTACCATATGCTGAAAAACAGCCCCACACCATGATGTTCCCACCTCCAAACTTCACTGTTRGTATGGTGTTTTTGGGCTGATGTGCAGTGCCATTTGACCTCCAAACATGATGTGTATTCTGGCATCCAAACTGTTCAATGTTGGTCTCATCTGACCAGACTATATTCTCCCAGTATTACACAGGCTTKTCTAAATGTTGTGCAGCAAACTTTAAAGGAGCTTCAACATGCTGTTTCTTCAGCAGTGGAGTCTTGCGTGGTGAGCGTGCATACAGGCCATGGTGGTTCAGTGCATTACTTTTTATTTTCTTTGAAACAAACGTACCTGCTAATTCCAGGTCTTTCTGAAGCTCTCCACAAGTGGTCCTTGGCTCTTGGACAACTCTTCTGATAATTCTTTTCACTCCTCTGTCAGAAATCTTGTGAGGAGCACCTGGTCGTGGTCGGTTTATGGTGAAATAATGTYCTTTCCACTTCTGAATTATGGCCCCAACAGTGCTCACTGGAACCTTCAGAAGTTTAGACATTCTTCTGTAACCGATGCCATCATTATGCTTTGCAACAATAAGGTTGTGAAGGTCTTGAGAGAGCTCTTTACTTTTACCCATCATCAGATGGTTCTTGTGTGATACCTGGCCATCATTTGGGACTGAACCAGCTGATATTAACTTGCACTGACAAGGGGCAGGCTTGTTTTCTAATTACTGAGAGAGTTCAGCTGGTGTCTTGGCTTTCCATGCCTTTTTACACCTCCCTTTCTTCATGTGTTCAATACTTTTTCCCTGTGCCATTCCACATTATTACAAATAACTTCATTTCTGGACATTTATGGTTTGATTTCTTTGTATGTATGGATCACTTGGGTTGTTACCRACATCTGGTGAAAATKTCATGTCATTAGCACCTCTAGTAATATATTTACTGAGAAAAATGTTGATGTGTTCAATACTTATTTTACCCGCTGTTATTATAAGATTTTGTCTTCATCTGCTACCTTTCATTTATTTATGATTTGTATTTAATTATATATTGAATTTAAAGAAATGAATAAAATTTGATAAATAAAAATCAAGTTCTACATAAGAAAGGGCATTACTGTTTTACCAAAATAGAATGAAAGTAATTTAAGTGCTAGTTCTTTTAGTAGATATATTCTTCGCAGGATAAAATTGTAGTAAACAATAAAAACAAGTCAATGTGTGACCAGTTACTGTGGATTTTATAGAAAGTTTCATTTAAATCTGCAGCCACAAACTGCTGTGAGATGATAAAATAAGAGAAAATCAAAAAATATAGTTTAAACTCAAGCACGTTTTCCATACTTTTACAATTATTGATTGTTGGTGAGATATTTAGATGTTTTACTTGAGTTGAACAATTTAAAGAGACACTTCTGATTAGTAAAACAGTTTGAGCAAAATGTCAAAAAACATTTGCTTCATAGTTTCATAGACAGGTAGTTGGAAAATCTTTGGTTTGAACTTTGACATTATTTCAAAAGAAATCACACAAACAAAGTGATACGAAAACACAGTGGATCAGAGGTGTGAAGGGAGATAAAAGAAAATGATTTTGAAGCTGAAGGACTGACACTGAATCAGTGAAATCTTTATATTCATCTGGTTGGTTCCCCAAAATAACTAAAGCACAAAAAACTGGAGTAAAAGTGTGAAATTATTTCACCTCTGCTGCACAGAGAGGACCCCTGGCATGTTGCGAAAATGGTGAAAAGCTACATGCAGCAGCACAACTTACCTCAGAGAGAGGTAGTGGAGTCCACGGGACTCAACCAGTCCCACCTGTCCCAGCACCTCAACAAGGGCACGCCCATGAAGAACCAAAAGAGAGCCGCTCTGTACACCTGGTACGTCAAGAAGCAGTGCGAGATCAGCCAGCGTGAGTACACAAGCTGCGTTTTTTCCACACACCCTTCAGCTAGCCCTGCTTTAGGAGACGTGTTGGTTACAGAAACGTTGCCTTCCAGAGTTTACCAATGCCAAACACGGCCTCGCACCTGCAGAAGAACAAGGAGAGGAAACYAAAAAGGGGCGAAGGAACAGATTTAAGTGGGGTCCTGCATCCCTGCAGATCCTCTTCAACGCCTACGAACGACAAAAGAACCCCAGCAAGGAGGAAAGAGAGGGGCTGGTGGAGGAGTGTAACAGGTGAGGTAACACTGACGGAAATGTGGTGTTTGTCTTAACTGTGTCCCTTTAAAGTGTCTGATTTCACTCATAAGGAGAAGTTGGTTACATAAACTCAACCATAATCTAATCTAAAACTAGAGTAAGATTGAAAGACCTCTGATATTTTTGTGTATCTTTAAAATGTGAAGTCATGTGTACTTTTGTTTTCAGGGCGGAGTGTCTGCAGAGGGGGGTGTCTCCCTCCCAGCTTGCTGGTCTGGGCTCCAACCTGGTCACCGAAGTCCGAGTGTACAACTGGTTCGCCAACCGCCGCAAAGAGGAGGCCTTCCGTCACAAGCTGGCCCTCGACACATCTTTCACCTCCCAGTCAGCTTCCTCCTCTAACCCCGCCCTCCCGCAGAGCCCCGAGCACGGTAAAAACCATCACGCCTGCTTCAAGTGTGACTCAGTCAAGTTTTAAAAAAGTAGAAGTGTTTCCTATACACTGTTGATTCATTGCCACATCTTTTACATTTCCTAAACAACTATCTTGGTTCTGGTACGGACCTGTTTTTCTCCAGGTGTGAAATACAGCCAGCAAATCTCGTGTGACACAGTTAGCTCAGGTAGAGGCGGCGCCGTGGAGCGAGTGGGGCGTCTTGTGGTCAGTCCCGTCCAACTGGAACCCAGCCACACACTCCTCGAGACCCATAACCCAAAGCTGGTGAGTGTGTGCTCCTTCACTCCTCCTGTGTGTAYGAATCGGTCAGGACATGACATCATGCTTAGGCCCGTCACGATAACAAATTTTGCTGGACAATAAATCGTCTCAGAAGTTATTGCRATGAGCAATATTACTTTGAGCCCATTTTAAACTAATATAATAACACCCGCCCCTGCTTATGAAACTACTAAAGTTTATGTACCTATAAAAAGTTACAAAYTAACCTGGACCAGAGATTGAGAAAACAACACACAACAGCTTCTGAAGATGTAAAATCACTTCCCAACTCTTCTTTCCAAGTTGTCGCAATTTATTCTTTATGTCTTTTCCTCTGGCTTCATAAAGTAATTGCGGTCACCCCCACTCTGCTCACAAAGTTTATTTATTTATTTATTTTTCTGCGTGGACTTCAGAGGAGTTGAACGCTTTTTGCTCTCTCTCCCGAACCTGTCCCTCCTTCCCTGCTTTGCAGCTTTTTCAAGCCTTTCTTCTACCTATCAACCGAAAACAAAAKGAATTATTAATTTGGTCAACTGGTCTCTGAACACAATTGACACTATTTTTTCAACACTGAGATTASAGCGAGGGGAGCGCRAGTRGTTTTTTTGAGCTTATGATTCTGTGTTTCTGGTGTAAACATAGGATCAGAGCATCTTTTTTTAACTCATCTCTCCTATTGTGTGTATTTCCAAGCTACAAAAATGTAGTGCGACCCTGTTGCGAATGACCTGTCACCTTGTTCCCCCATGTTTGTTATGTATGTCCTTCTTGAACAGGTGTTCTAAACTGCAAAATTTMATTGTAATGCAAATTATGACAATAAAGGCAATTCTATTCTAATTMTATTCTATTCTAAATTYACGTAGTGTAAAAAAAACAATGCTTGGCAAACCTAAGGTTTGGCATGGTGCTCTGAGGCATCACCAGCTGAAAGGCGGCATCAATAACTGAAGACACTCCTCTGGCTAAATGCCTGTTCACGGGGGTCTCATGCTACAGGGGTTACGAGACCATGAGCCTGACAAATGCCTGACGCCAGAGTTCACTCCGCTACGCTAAAGGAGTAGAAAAGAGGCAAACACAAAGAAAASAAAGCAGGCAAATTAAAATTATCAACCTCATTTTAATTTATTGCTCATCACAACAGGCCTAATCATGCTCTCTCCTGGTTGCAGGTGTCCAGCAACGGCCCCCTGCCCCCAGTAAGCACTCTGACGTCCCTGCACAGCCTGTCTGCCTCCCCTGCATCTTCACAGAGCCTCATCATGGCTTCAGTGCCGAGCGTCATGAGTCTAGGAGAGTCCTCGCTTCTCATTGGTATCACAGCCTCCTGGTTTCTCTTTGTGGAAACAAAATGAGGACGTTCACGAGACTAATGTCTAATGTTTCACAGGATTAGCTTCCACGCAGCCACAGACCGTCCCCGTTATAAACAACATGGGAGGAGGTTTCACAACTCTCCAGCCGATCTCATTCCAGCAGCAGCTCCACGCCTCCCACCAGCAGCCTTTATCACAGCAGCTTCAGAGCCACATGGCTGCCAGTCCCTTCATGGCGACCATGGCTCAGCTGCCATGTCACAGTAAGACCCTCCACAGCACGACGTCAGTCTAAGCTCTCACAAGAGCTAAGAGTCACCTTCCCTCGTTACAGTGTACAAGTCGGACTCGCCCCAGTACCACTCGTCCAGCCTGCTGTCTCAGGCCATGGTCATCACTGACAGCAGCAGCCTGGGGACCCTGACCAGCCTTGCTGCAGTCAGACAGGTACTGGTTCTGATGGTTCTGACAGGGTCTCAAGAGATCAATCTTTAAATCCTGTTCTTGAATTTCRTTTTGGGTAGATTCTCACGGCAGACCCAGAGGAAGGGACAGACTCACCTTTACAAGATGATTCATTACACCTGCAGCCGCACACACCTGTGCCAGGTAAAACTCAGACTCATCATCTGACCTCAAACAGAGGTATTCTGAAGTATCGTCACTGGATTCAGTAGAAGCACTACGGTAAAAATGCTGTATAAAACCATGATGCTAGGCAGGGGCAGAGCTTGATTTTTTTGCAAGGGGTGGCCAAGGTGTTATCTAGGGTGGCATATTAAAACAAACAAATATATATTTATATCATGGATTGGAAAATTTTCGATGGTCACAGCTAAATTTAAATGGCTATAATTCAGCCATTTTAAGACTGAGCTGAAATTTGTTGTAGTGTAGCCAAGACAGATTGCTAGCTACAATTTAAGCTAACCACTAATGCTAATTTTATAAAGGGCTATAATTCAGCCATYAAATGCACAGCTGAAAATTTATATAGTAGTAGCCAAGAAGAATCTTTAATAAAATCTGAATGTAAATACAAAATCTAAGACGGCCACCAAAGTTAATTTCAAACAGTTGGACCTCAGCCTTTTTTTTTTTTTTTTGAAATACTGAGCTGAAATTTGGTAAGTTGGTAGCCAAGAGGAATCCTCGTCATTTTGAAATCTCARTTTTAACATTTTAGAGATATTAAGCTGAAATTGAATGTGGTGGTGGCAGAAAGCGATGCCCAACAGAGTCTAAAAATCAAAAGAATCCAAGATGTCCACTAAAGCTAAATTCAAATARCTACAATTCAGCAATCTTTRTAAATATTGAGCTGTAATTTTGTGTGGTGGAATTGTTGCTTTTAAATTAATWCAGTGGTTTATAAAAGCAAYAATYTTCCCTCTACACTAGATAATACAGCTGCACAACATATATACTTTGTTTTAGCTCTAAYGGACCAACTTTTATTGCCAAATGCGATCCCTACTTGTCAATCATTTGGAGGTGGCACCTGCAACCCTGGCCMACCCTCATGGTGTTAAAATGACAATAAATTGAACATTTTGTGCAACCCTACAGATGTGCAATAAAAACAGATAAAGAAGAAACTAATGATGGCAAATTAAAGAGAATTATTTTTTAAGTTTAACTTTTTTGAATTAGTTTAAAACATCCTTAGATTAATTAAAAGCCTAACATTCCTTGAAAAGACTCATTGCCTTTCATTCCTGCGTTTCAAAGACCAACTCTTGATTATAGGGGGATCTACTTATAGATGTTTTTATTATATTTTGCTAATTAATCTATGCCTTTTTTCACATTGACACAATTTAATGACAAAATGTTTTTTTTGCTTTCCCTACTCTAACTCTTGTTCTCAGCTTCCTCTGAGAGCCTGGAGCTGTATCCTTCCTCTCAGATGACAGAGCGCCATCCATCTCACATCCTCTCACCATCACCGACAGACATCAGCTCCTACATGCCGACACAAATGGTCTCTACAGCCCAGTAATGCTTCCTCTCCTGCCGTCTCAGCTGAACGCTGAGGCGTGACGGTGTTTGGGAAGGACAGCTCCTCCTGGAGAATGTTTCCTCCCAACAGAACCTGGAGATGGAGGGCCGYGACGATGACGTGTCAAAGACTGCCTGATTCAAACTCTGTACAGCTGTAGCTGGAACCACCGACGCAGCAAAGAAATAACTTAAGATCAACACCAAAACACGCTTCTTTTTATTAAAATGTTTTGTAATAGTCAAAAATTATAACTTGAGGAGAAATTTGAAAATTGTATGCCACGTGCATTTGTTTTGAGTATGCCGTCTTAAAACGCTTTCCATGAAAATGTGACTGAAATAACTCTGAACAATGTRTGTAAAGTTATTTTTAAATTCACAAAGTGAGCTCCTCCTTTTATTTTCCAAATATTTGGAAAAATGCCAAAACATGCACTTACTTCAACACAGCATAGAAGACTGAAACAAAAGCTCTGAAAMTATAAATGTTAGTTATGAAAACTCAGCTCACAGTTTCTTCCTCGGAGTTTCTTTTTTGCTTCTTTTTCTTTTTCCGTTTGACTTTGACGTGCTCYTGCTCAGAGGTCCTGCGCTCGCCGCTGCTTTGATCCGGGTCCGGTCCTGCAGAGTCCAGCCGCTCGCTCTCTTCATCATTCTGTTTCTTCTTGTTCCTGATAATCCGACTCTCTCCTTCGACTTTGTTCTTCTTCTGCTTTCTGTCGGAGCCGGGGGTCTCTGTTGACGAAGGTGTCGACTTAGAGGGGAGTGTCGATGAGGSCAACAGATCTTTTATGGACACCGCTGCCTCCTTCACCCTCGATTCCATCTCACTKTCGCTGTCACTGAGAAGCAGAAACACGGCCAATGTTACATAAATGAGTAAAAAATAAAGATGTAAAGATCTGCAATAAAAAGGTGAAGAACCTTGAGCTGGGAGCAGGCCGACGCCTCGCGGGTGCTGGGGGAYGATCAGCTTTCTGTACCGGGACAGATGTAGAGAACAGACGAAATCCTAAAAATAAGTAAAAAGCATGAGGAGATGAACTAAACTTTTTAAAATCAGTCAAATGTGATAAAAGGAGCTACCATTTTACCTTCCTCCTGATTRTCCTGAGCAGAGTTTGTTGATTCTAAACCATGTGAGGTCTCAAGCTGCGTCTCTGAAATACAACTACCAGATAAAAGAAACAAATTAAAATATGGATYTCTCTAATCAACGTTACATTAAAATGCTCGGTTTACCTGTCGAGAAAATGTTCCAGCTTTTGAGCCACATGTGTTTGAAACCCCCTGGTGACCTGGAGCGCGTTGCCATCATGCTCATGGTCAGCCACAGCAACACTGAGGTCATGACAGAACATCGTCAAACTTATTTTACAATTCTAACGTACACATCTGGAATAATTCACACATCTTATTTATTGTTCACAAAGAAGCCCATCATTCGTATGATTAAAACTCACAGCCTTACTTACTGTAGCTAAAGCYTAATATAGATAAAAGTTTAACTTTTTCTTTACAAAGTGGGAAACTTGACACACACATACACAACATAGAAAACAATAGAAATAGCCTTTATTGACCCACCGAGAGGAAATTCAGGACAAATTTTAACATAAGCATATAGCWGTGAAATCTGTAAATACCAGTGTTGTATAAAGTACCACAAAGTGATACTTGAGTAAAAGTACAAGTATCTTACCAAAAAATTACTTTGGTAAAAGTTAAAAGTCTCTTTTAGAAATATTACTTGAGTGAAAGTCTTAAAGTATCTGATATTTTTGTACTTAACTATTAAAGTAAAAGTATTGATTTAAAATGAGCAGTTAGATTTTCTGTAATGACCTTTATTAGGAGGTAGCCTGGCCCTTGCCTTCCTACGCTGTTCTGCTCAATTCTAGTTTCCCTTCACTCGTATGAAGCAAAGCGAAGAACAAGGGTCTGGTTTTAACCAGGCTAATTAGGAGGTGGCCTCCCCCCAAAAAAATGCAGAAAGGACTATGGTGTATTAAAATAATTAATTTATGTTAAATTTAGGATGCACTTGTCTAGCTGTTTCAGTTTATATACATACAGGTCCTTCTCAAAACATTAGCATATTGTGATAAAAGTTCATTATTTTCTGT